GGCACTTCAGAAAATGAGAACGCAAGCTGATTCGGAGAGAAAGATGGCTCAGCCCTGCCGAGGGTCCTGCTCACTCCAGAAACCATAAATCTGTGGCAGAGTTTGGGAACTTCCCCAGTCTTACTGGACAGCCAACAAGAACCAGAGTGGTAAGTCCTAGGATTGTTAGAAAAATTATTTAATTAAAGCCCTTATAAACACTTCAGACTCTAGACAAAATGAAAACTGTGAGAAATAATAACTGGGCAAATGATAGGAATAACCATAACTGCTGACCCAATGTAGGGCACCTTCAGCTGGCAAATACATTCAAGATGGTGTTCATGGGAAGAGCAAGTCTTGGGGACAGATCTGGAAGAAGCAAGGTGAAAAGTAGCCCCTTGGCAAGTGGACTCTGAAAGGCTAGTCTAAGAACCTCCACACGAGGGCATGTCTGGCATCAACGGGGACTGGGAACCCCAAAGAGAAGATCCACAGGGAAAACCAAAAGCCTCTGTTCTCTTAAACCAGCAGTCGCCAACCTTTTGGACCTCACAGGCCACCAGTGGCTCGAGGACCACCGGTTGGCAACAGCTGCTCTAGTGAGCTACAACTCACTGGAAGGGGCCCAGTGTTTTAAGTGCTGAAATGTGACATTTTGGAAATAGAAGGATCTGACTTGCAAGAAAAGATCCCTAATTTCCAAAGGAACCCAAACAATTCTTAGGTGGGCTTCACACAGTCATGGGCTACCAGGCTATTTGCAGAACCTATGAAATCGTCTACAGTCCATAATGAAAAGACTATTTCAACATGTAAAGACTGTAAAATTGAGCTGTAAATTTTAATAGCTATTATTTGTGCCATGTTATGCATATTTATCTCATTTACCCTCACAACCTCCATGTAAGGAAGGAATTTTCATTCTCATTTTATAGATGAAGAAACAAAGGCTTTGAGGGATTAAGACACTTGTCCTAAACTATAGCAATAAATAAGGAGTAAGAGCAGAAATCAAACCCAAAATTGTCTAATCCCAAAGGCCATACTTTTAACTTCTATTATCTCTTGCCTCTCGAATGCTATTTTTTTTCCTTATGAAAACACTGGAGTGATGACTAGTTTCAATGTATTCTTATGAGACTTATAATCATTCTATGATTATGCTAGAAAGTACTTTTAGGAAGGCACATCTATATATATGAAAGGCTAATATGCCAAGCGTCCCTCCTACCATCTGGCTATGACACACACTGACCACCAGGGGGCAGATGCTCAACGCAGAAGCTGCCAAGCTGCAGTGACTTGGCAGCAGCGGTTCTCGGTTCTCCGGTGATGCATCCCAAAACCAGCGAGTAGGGAGCCCAATTCCTCATGTGGCCTCGCGATTCCACCTTCAGCTGTGGGTTATGTTGTTGCTGGGGCACTGTCGCCCTGAATCTGGTTTACTACACACTTGCTTTTGCATTCCACACCCTGTACAACAGCAACTTCCCAGAGTGCCCTCTCACACTCCGGGACCCCTCAGGAGATATCAGGGAGCCAGTTTTGGCCTGATCCCCGCAGGCCAGGCTGAGGGACCCCCCGCCTGCTGGAGGGACCCCACTTACTCCGCAGACACCCGGGGAGGGACCGTGGGAGGTTGGCTCCAGGGTGTGTCTGGCCCATCTCAGCCAGTCCCGCCCCACCAGACACCTTCTAATTAATTTCCTTTCAATGTGCAGGAATCGGCGCACCGGGTCACTAGTTTTTATATAAAACTATTGACTTTAATTGCTAACTAACATGTATTATGTCTTTCCAGTCTTTGTGTACTACAGTGGGGCACAACAGATATCGAATGAATGATAGTCCTTGGGCCAGGAAAATTCTATGCCAAAGCATTGAAATAATTTGTGGCTAGACCGACATCATGATCTTGAGGAATCGTCAAGGAAGGGAGGCTTTAGAACACTAGAGGTTAAGTGGAAGAAGGCAGTTTCTGCACAGCACAGAGCTGTGAGATTAGGCATGATCCGGAGCAGGATCTGACCGTGCTGTTACGGGAGAGATGGCTATGGGCGCCTAGCAAGGTCAAGCACTGATCACCGAGACCAGCACACCCTCACCAAGTGCAGGTCATTTCAAACCCACCCCACTGCCTTCTTTGGCTGGGCTCGTGGGCTCGCGGTGGCGTGCAACAGCAAGCAGCTGGAGCTGGTGCGGGCTGGCCCTTTTAGGAAAAGCATGCGCTCTTCAACGTACCCATTTACACTGCCTGGATTAGCTAACAGGCTGGATGACAGAATCGGGACTTAACATTACGTGTAACAAGGATTAAAAGGACCTTGCACTTGGTTTAACAAAACCCAATGGAGTAAACCTGAGATGGGGAAAGGAATGACTTAGGAGCAACAAACATAAAAATGTCTTTCAGCTGATAATCTCCGTGAGCGATTAACAGTGTGATGTAGGTGGCCAAGTGAATAAGAGCAGCCTTGGCTGCCTTCATAGAACGCGATGTCCACACTAGAACCAAGGAGGTGACAGCCACGGCAGGCTGCACCGGTCTACATACTGTACTACGTTGACTTCTGGGCAGCTCACTTTGAGAGGGTCTGTTATTCTCCATTGCCCCCCCCCCCGCCCCCCCGCCCATGATCTGTTGTCCACACTGCTCTGACCCCTACATCACCCAGAATCCCTTGTGCTGGTGACTTCCCACTGGGCCCAGCCAATCCGAAGGACCAGCGAGAGATTCAGGGCGAGAAGAGAGAGAACATGCAGAGCTCGCTTGTGCCCGTCTCCCTGCTCCATCCCCGCCACGTTTCTCACAGTGGCTGTGTCCCTCTGCAGCTGCAGTTCCTGGCAGGCAGCCCCCCTTCCAGAGCTCCAGCTCTCCGTGGGTTCTGGTGTGCTCCCCTCATCCCTTCGGGGCTAGGGGTGGTCACAGTCCCCCATCCCCGTCTGCTGCTAGTCCCTGGTTTTCTCATCATCCCTCTGGGTTCCCTTAACCCTGCCCACACCTCTGTAAATGGTCCCGCCCTACATTATTTTCGAAGTCCCAACTAAGTTGACCTTCTGTTTCCTGCTGGGACCCTGAGTGAAATAAAAGAGGTAGGATGGCAGCAAGCCATAAAATCTTGTTGGGAGGATCACCTATAGCAGTGGTCGGCAAACTGCAGCTTGCAAGCCACATGCGGCTCTTTGGCCCCTTGAGTATGGCTCTTCCTAAGGCTTAGGAGTACCCTAATTAAGTTAATAACAATGTACCTACCTATATAGTTTAAGTTTAAAACATTTGGCTCTCAAAAGAAATTTCAATCGTTGTACTGTTGATATTTGGCTCTGTTGACTAATGAGTTTGCCGACCACTGACCTATAGGAACAGAAATGTTTGGCTTAGTGAGGGGAAATAGGTTAGTCCACCTGATAAAGTGAAGGGCCACCATCAGACTCATTCTCCTGGCTCCATGAATACAGAGACCAAGTTGTTACTTTTACTGCGAAGTAAACTCTTCTAAAGAGTTGGTTGGCAGAGGTGGGGCGAGCCCTCCTGGGAGGACATGAGCTCTAGAAATTCTGACTTGCCCAGTCTTAAGCTAGAGTCCCTATCAGGAATACTGCAGGAAAAAGAAGGGAAGTCTAGAAAAAGACTTGCCAAGTCAGGATTTCATGATTTGCTACCAACTGCACACTATACTCAATGGTTTACCAAAATAACCAAATAGGGGAGAACATTTGGGGGGATGTTTTGCAGTTTCTCACTTCAAGGTAAAGAATGGAAGTCCAGCCCTCAGTGTCAACTTAGATAATTCTCAACAGTGAAGTTCTTTTTTACGCTTTATTTTAAAAAGAAATATTTTTATTGATTTCAGAGAGGAAGGGAGAGGGAGAGAGAGATAGAAACATCAATGATGAGAATCATTGATTGGCTGCCTCCTGCTCGTCCCCTACTGGGGATCCAGCCCACAACCCGGGCATGTGCCCTTGGTCAGATTCCAACCTGGGACCTTTCAGTCCGCAGGCTGACGCTCTAGTCACTGAGCCAAACCGGCCAGGGCTCTTTTTTACGCTTTAAAGTAACTCAGGATCATGAAACTTACTTTACATCTTAGTAGCACAGCCTTCAAAGGGGTTATTCCCACACCGCTGAGCAGCCTATGAAAAAAAAACTTAACCAAGCAACTTCTACCTGCACATCTATCACTAGCTTCTTCAGAACTGTCACTTCATCTTTCAAATCAAAAGCCAGGATGCGAGTTCTGCCCATGAGACAAAATATTTTACAGGCAAAGGCATATTGTCCCGGAAAAAAAAATAAGCGCTTCAGTTCACCCGGGTGGGAAAAGGAAATGGTTTTTGCAAGAGCTCTCAACTCCTAAGTTCACAGAAGGGTCATGGCCATGATGCTAAGTGTGTGCTCCTCACCCTGGGGGACCGCCTGGAACGCCAGCGCTTCACTCATTCATTCAACAAACATTTGATCTTGACCTCCTCATTAACAGAGCCCCACTGGGCCCTGGGGATGGGCAAGATCCAGAGAGACCACCGCTGCATCTGGCCTTCAACAAACAACCCGATTTCAAAGACCAATGAGGGCAAAAAGTGAGAGCAAACGCGCCCAGAAAAGTTTCAGCAGAAACTTGAGAAATGCCAGCATTCGGGCGCCTAGAAGGCGGGGACCTGGGGCCTACATGTAGGCGGACACCGCCTCCTGGCTGGCGGGCCGGCCATCCTGGGCCCTCCGGCCACGCGGCCCCGGCCCTGGCCCTGGCCCAGAGCCGGCGTTGCCTGGGCTCAGGCCCGGCTGCTCCACCCGGCGCCTCCGGGGCCTGGAGCGCAGCGCCCGGGCGACCACCCGCAGGACGATGGCGCAGACCGCGGGGCGCGCCCGGCCCGCCACCACGAGCCCGGGAAGCGCGCGCACGCGTCGCCGCGCCCCTCTCTCCGCCGGGCACACGCGGCGCGCCCCCGCCCGGCCGGAGCCCCAACCCCGCGGACCCCAGCCCCCGCCGCTCCTGCGGCCGCGCCCCACTCACCCTCTTTGGCTTTCTTCCTCCGGGCCAGAGTCCCGCCGAGTTTCCCCAAGAAGGAGTCATCTTTCTTCCGGGATGGGGGCGACTTGGGAGTGGGGGACTTGGGGACCGAGGGCGACTTTTGCGGGGAGGAGGCCATGGCGGTGGAGCGGACAGCCGCGGGCCGGTCGGGACGCGGAGCTGGCGCTGGGCGGGCGCGGCGGGACTGAGGCTGCGGCTTTCCAAACGGAAGCGGAATTATTCCAAGCATTTAAGGCAGCTCACGCTTGCCTTTCCCTTCCCTCTCTCCCTCCCTCGCGCCGCCCTCCGCCCTGCGAGGAGCTGTGCGCTCGGGCCCTCGCTCCAGGCAGGCCTGCTCTCTGCGCCCTTTGGCTGCCCAAAGCTGGGAGGATGCCCCAAATCTGCTCCTTGGAGGATGTGCAGCCTTATCTATGGATGTGTGAGTGACCCTCCAGCCTGGGCGCGCTGGAGCCTGAAAGCCTCATTTCCCCTGGCTCTGCACCCAGCACAGATCCTTGCACAAATGCACGGTTCACTGATTGCTGAACTGAACCCACCTGTTACTCTGTCTCCCAGGGTCTTGACTCAGCTGCTTGGTGAGGTGCTTGCTTTACCCCGGCATTTCTACCTCTGCAGTTAATAGGCCCATGTCTTGTGCCCAAAAGGGGGTGTGGAAAGAAATAGAGCGAACCAAAATGTGTTTAGGCCCCACCAACTGGGCACATCTGACTGTTCCTGCACTTAGCCACAGCTGTGCCGTAAGCGGGCACATCCTACCTCCTCTTCACTCCATATCCCAAACTGAGAGGTTTGAAGTTCATAAGCACAGGGCCCAGACTTCTTATTCTGAGACATCCCTGCTTCTAGCAGTTCAATGGCTTGTGCAAAGGAGGATCCCAAATGTTGGTGTAAACATGAATGGGAAGGTACAATCATGGCATCCTGTGAGACAATGAGCGCCCCCCCCAAAAAAAAACCACAAAAAAAACCCCCAACTTATCCCCCCTAAGTAAAATCAACAGAATGACAACCAGACTCATTTGGGATAACAGGGTGTCCTTGACAGAATGTTTCAAGGACTCATGCGGGAAATGATTAAAGGCACATTTTATTGAGCTTGCCGCTTTAAGTTCTCACTTGGGCCCTTCTGTCTCTTTCACACACACACACACACACACACACACTCACACTCACACTCACACTCACACACACACACACTCACACTCACACAGCCCCTTAGCAACTATGTTTCCTCCCAATAGCTACAGCTGAGTGACCTGACCCAAAGAGCTGCTAATGCTTGACTGGAAAGCAGCCAATAAGATGGTCTCAATCAAGAATCTGAGTTGGTTCAGACTTGTCAGAAGTGGAGAAGTTAGTGATGATCCTGCAGACTTAAGACTGGGTGTCCATTTTTAGCCACATGCCGATGAGCAGAAACCAAAAGAATGGAGCCAAGTAGTGGTCTCAAGAAGACAAGTGGTCTGAATAAAGAAAGACCGGGGGGAGAAGCTGCCTGGAGCTTGAACCCCTTCCCGGTGCCCACTTGCCCTCAGCCGGCCAGCGGTGTGTCCCTCCGAGGATATGTTCTTAAACTTTTTTACTAGCTCAGCCGCCTTTAACCTGAGCTAATGAGAAAACTAATAAGCAGCAATTTCTGAGAAGAAAAATGTAACTAACAAGATGATCAATAGATTAAGCAAAATATGTGTTCATTTGATCTTTGCTGAAAAGTCCAATTTCTTGAAAATTATACTTTAGCTCGTGCCTCTTACCTAACAGGAAACAGAGAAGTCATGAGGACTGCTAGAACTTTCACCCAGGAGCAGGGGAAGATTACGCACCCTCCCACCCCCCACCCATCACCCTGAAATATTGCAAAAAGATGTTGAGAAGCAACATAGAATTGTTTTGATTACATCATTATCCTACTTGTTCAGGATATTAGATGCATGAGGACATCTCCAAAATCTGGTCTCCAGCCCTGGGAACTTTGTCAAGGAATCATGAGAAGCACAGCTCAATAGCTATGTGATCTTGGGCACGTTTACTCCTGTCCCGAGTCTCTATTTCTTCATCTACAAAATGGAAGAGAAGAGAGGCTCTACAACCTGATTGTGCATCACAGTCCCTTAGGGAGTTTGTCGCAAACATTCTCAGGCCCCATCTCTAGAAATTCTGGTTGAGTACATCTGAGATAAAACCAAGAGATGGGCATTTTTTGACAGGAATTACACCAGGTGATTTGGATCCACGTGCTCATGTTTGGGTACCTAAAACCACTTTCAGCTCTAACATTCCCTGGTGCTCTATTCTCTACCGATTGCTGATATCTTGTGCAGGGCTTAGGTCCTAAATATGGCACCGTCAGAATTACACATGTAGATCTCTCAAATTGCACGTGCGTGCTTTGGCGTACACAGCCCTCTTTGGCAATTTTTATGCACATTAAAGTTTGGAAGTCACTGGGCAAGACTAAAAGGCAGAACAAACAAAGGAAAGTCCTGATTGTTGAATGCTGGCTCCCAGAAAATACCAGCAAAACAAGCTGTGGAGAAGGCAAACCTGAGTTTATTGTACACGATGGTAAGGAGGGCCCTGCCTTCGCAGCTTAGTAACATCTTGGACTGAGAAGAGCGGGGCAAAGTAGGGATCATCGCAAGGTTTTGGAATCTGGTTTAAGGCAGGTCTTTCCTGAGGTGGTGCTTAGTTCATTTTCACTAAGGATCGTGATAAAATAGTTCAGGATTAGTGGTCACAAGCCAGGACTTTCAAAGAGTCTTCGAGATTAAACAGTCTTTTCAATGCTATCTATTGAAAAGTTTAAGGGTTTTCTGTTTGGTTCCATGAGATTTGAAAGTAAGTTCTTGAAAATAACAATATGGTTATGTAGTTATGTGTAACTTTTATCTTTTATGTATTCTGTGGAATAAAGTCATGTTGGCAAAGACGGGATGGTGAAGTCTCGTTAATGTGGACAGGGGATGGTTTCCAGGGCCCAGTGTTATGCAGGTGTCTTGTTATTCAAACCTTTCTGCCGCTGAGTAAGGTAATTATGAATCCCTCTTGAGAGGCCCAGGTGGAATGGGTGGTAAATTATGAATCAGTGCTACTCAAAGTGTAGTCTGAAAACCAGTATTTTTCTGCAAACTGTGTTATTGGTCCTCAATGGTATAAATGTAGAAACCGAGAGTGTTTAGAAACTTTTAGCCTGGCCAGTGTGGCTCAGTGGTTGAACATCGACCTATGAACCAGAAGGTCAAGGTTCAATTCCTGGTCAGGGCACATGCCCAGGTTGTGGGCTCAATTCCCAGTGTGGGGCGTGCAGGAGGCAGCCCATCAATGATTCTCTCTCATCGTTGATGTTTTTACCTCTCCCTTTTCCTTCCTCTCTGAAACTAATAAAAATATATTTTTTAAAATAAAAACTTTCATAATTTAACAATATAATTTTATATTAGTTTAATTTAATAATAAAAATTAGAAGCTTATATTTTGCATGTCTTATTTTGCTTTTCTAATAATTCATTTTTTATTATATTTTACAAAAATAGTGGTCTATGATGGATTGGTCCTTCACCATAGATTATTTGAAAAGCAATGTTCTAAACTGCTCCAGTTTGCTTACAGTTTAGATACTCTCTTTTGATAGTATGCTTTTTAGAGTCCTTATGGATGTGAGGCGATCTGTTTTTTTATTCAGGAGATTAAGTGAGATAGTATATGGGAGAAGTGCCTTGCCCAGGGCCTGGCCCTGAAGTAGGCTAAGTTGAAACCTACAGCGGGGTCTTGACTTATGAGTTTAATTCGTTCTGAGACTGAGCTCATTAAGGAGCTCGTTAACTCAAATTACTCTATCAACTCAATGCAAAAAATCGGCTGAGAGACAGCTGGTATCTCAAAAAACTCGTTGGTCAGGACCCTCGTAAGTCAAGGCCCCACGGTATTTTAATCAGGGACACACATCGCACACTGTTCTTCGGTAAGATGTAGAGGAGCCCGCACCAGCCTTCTCCCGTGTGAACTGGTATGTACAGGGATGGCACCAATGATCAGCTGCCTTTCTCGTGCTCCTCTTAGTCTCATCTTACCCAAGGCTTAGCTCAGGGGTCCTCAAACTTTTTAAACAGGGGGCCAGTTCACTGTCCCTCAGACCGTTGGAGGGCCGGACTATAGTTTAAAAAAAAACTATGAACAAATTCCTGTGCACACTGCACATATCTTATTTTAAAGTAAAAAACAAAATGGAAACAAATACAATATTTGTATTTGCATGTGGCCCGCGGGCCGTAGTTTGAGGACCCCTGGTAAGGTGATAAGGACAACTCCTAAGTTAATGTGCGTTGTGTGAGACTCTGCTGAGTCTCTAGGTTACTCTGTTTTTGAAATCTAGGCCCAGGCGTGTATCAGGAGATACTAATCCCAGGTTCCAGTCCTGGCTCGGGACAAATCTCTGCCCTTTCTGTACTTTCATTTCCATCGTCAGTGAAGGGAACACAGGCAGTTCCATATGATCAACAATTACAATCCAGGTTACACTCAACAAAAACGAGTACATTTGTGCACCCAGATACACATTCAAGAAAGTTCACAGCACCACTATTAACAGTTAAATTATAAATAAATTGTGATAGTCACACAATGGAGTATTACAGTGATGAGAACAAACAATTGGCAACTACAAGCAACAATAGGAATGTATCTCACAAGATAATGTTGAGTGGGAAAAAAGCAGACACAAAGGACATATACGCTATCATTCTCTTTGTAGAAAGTTCACAAAGACAGGCTAGTAAGAAGTCAGGATAATGATCAGCCCTGGGACGGTAGTGATGAGAATGGGTGGAGGGGTGGGAGGCATGAGGGAGGTTACAGGAGCTGCTCATGTTCTGTATTTTGATGGACAGGTACTGGTTCCATGGGAAGATCCACTTTGAAAATTCATTGAGTGTGCATGTAATAATTAGAGCAATTTTCTGTATGTATATTGTACTTCAATAAAAATTTATAAATGTATCACAAAACAGATGTTTAAGCCTGGCCAGTGTTGCTCAGTGGTTGAGTGTTGACCCATGAACCAAGAGGTCACTGGTTTGATTCCTGGGGGCATCTGCCACTTCCAGAAGAGGAAGGTTAAAATAGCGGGTTAGGTCATACTGGTGTAGGATGGGCACCGAATCCAGTAAGACCAGTGTCCTTAGAAGAAAGTTGGGACCCAGCCAAGCATAGAGAAAGATGGTGGCCACTGAAGTGACAGGAATGCCCGGGGCTACCAG